CAGGATGTGGTAGTGGTACAGCAGCAATGATGAGACAAACACAATCCAACACAGTCCCTTACACTCAGCCTTCTTCATGTCCCACATAACCAGGTATTCTGTTTCTTTCCAGAAAGGGCCACATTTTCTTTAGTCTTCTTTTTATCACCGACATACTACAGAAAGTTTTCTTGTTATCCTTTCTATCAGGGTTTTAGATTTCTTAACCTGATCACTGGCTGCTCAAACAGTTTCTCTGTATTCCTCACAGTCTACCTTGTTCCACCCTCTGTAGGCTTCCCTTTTTTGTCTGATCTTGTCCAGCATCTTGTTGTTCATCCATTCAGGTCTCCTGATGTTCTTACGTGAATTCCTCTTTGTTGGGATGCATCACTCCTGAGCTTGGAGGAGGTGATCCTTGAACATTAACCAGCTTTATGCCATAGTACTCTACCAGGAAGATCCCTGAAGAAGCTGAAGTCTGCTTTCCTGAAGTCCAGGGCACACCCTTCTTACTGCCCTAAGAATCTTGAACTCCACTAGTTCATGGCCACTGCAGCCAGGGCCACCCTAAAGCTTCTCATTCCCCACCAGCCCCTCCTTGTTTGGGAGAACAAGGTCAAGCACAGCACCTCTTCTCACTGGTTCCTCTATCATTTAGAGAAGTTTTCGTCAATGCATTCCAGGAACCTCCTGGATTGTTTATGCCCTGCTGTGTTGTCCCTCCTACAGATATTGGGGATGTTGAAGTCCCATGAGGACCAGGGCTTGTGAATGTGAGGCTGCTCCTATCTGTCTATTGAGGGTCTCATCCACTGGGTCTTCCTGGTCATGTGGTCCATAGCAGATCCCCACTATAATGTATCCTGTCCCTGTCCTCACTTCAGTTCTGACCCATAAGCTATTTCTCAGCTCTATATGCATCCCCATGTGTATGTCCATGCACTTCAACTTGTCACTGACATGAAAGGTGACACACCCCCCCACCTCTGCCATCTTCCCTACCTCTCCTTCCTAAAGACCCTGTGTCCTTCCATTCTAACACTTCATTCATAGGAGCCATTCCACTACATCTCTGTGATGTCAGTAAGATCACAGCCCTGCAGGCATGGGCACAAATCTCTAACTCCTCTTGTTTTTTTTCCATGCTACATGTGTTTGCATAAAGACTTTTCAGTTGGGTCCCTGATGAAGCTGGTTTACTGCCTAGAATTCCTTTGTGCTGCTCTTCAGGTTCTCTCTCTCCTGCTGACCTGTGTTCCCTCTCCAGGCTCTCAGCACCTATTGCTGGCACTGGCATCAAACTGGTAGGATTGGCATGAATAGAGGTTCTGGTCCCCTAGTAGCTTTAGTTTAAAGCCCTCCTCACCATCTTGGCAAGCCTATGACCAAAGATGGTCTTCCCTCCTTTGACAGATGTACGGCTCAGCTCCCACCAGCCCAGGTTTCTCAAAGCGAGTCCCATGCTCTTAGTAGCCAAACCCATGGCTGTGACACCAGTCTAGTAACCAATTGTTGATTTGCTGGATTTGACTCTCCTCAAACCCCTTCCCTTTGACCAGGAGGACTGATGAAAAAACTACCTGCAATCCAAAGTCCCTTACCACCACTCCCAGGGCTCTGTAATCCTTCTTGATACTCCTCAAACTGCTCCTGGCTGTGTCACTCGTGTCCATGTTAAACAACAGCAGCAGCAAATAATTAGTGGACTGCACAATGTTTTGTGTCTTGGTGACATCCCCGATGTGAGTCCCCGGTAAGCAGCACATCTCTCTAGAGAGTGTGTCAGGTCGGCTGGGTGCCTCTGTACCTCTCAGAAGAGAGTCACCTGCTACCTCTCAGAAGAGAATTCCTGATGGGGATGTCTACGTGTGGCTAACTACTGTAAGTGTATTTAGTTGAATTATATTAGCACAACAGTCTTTGTTAGACATCCATCTTTCAATCGATAGTACAAATTCAGGCAGAAACTGGTGTGTTCCTATAACTAATTATAAAATTTCTGTGTTTTAATGAAAGGAGTTGATGGTCTTCAGTTTAACTTTTGACAGATGACATCATCATCTCAGTGTCACTTCTGGGGTGGCTGAAGCAGGTAACTTTGTTTACTGTCTCGACAGGAAGGCCCACTGGAACCTATTTTCTTACCGCAGGTACTACAATCTGGACTACAGAGAGTAACATTCAACTCGGGAGAAGACGTTGACACAGTTCTAGAGTGTAAATCATCACTAGGAGACACTAAACTCTGCTGAGGCCCATGTCTTGCTTGTTCCATATATTTTTTTTCTATCTGTCATAATACAGAGAGGGTTCAAACACCTAAGAAAGGCTAATAATGAGAGACTTATACAAACTATATATGTTATTGTTTATATATATTATATAGTGGAAAAAAATAGGATAATTCCTTATTTTCTATTTAGCTATGCATTCTTACAACTCAGTCTCAAAATATATGCTTTTTGGTGTGTAAAGAAATTGTTTCAAATCATTTGTAAAACCATCACACTGTTAACATCATTCATGAACTTATAATGTGAGGGAATACAGAAGGTTTCTGTGCTTAAATCCTAAGGCCTGTATGCAAAACCTGTGAAAAAAGAAAACTTAAATACTGCAATATTCCACCTTGATTTACTGCCTTCTCCAAATTACTTCTCAACTAGATACAACATGTGATCTGCCATAACTAGGAAGAAGGGTAATTAACTGACATATATTTTGTATTTGCAAGAGGCACCGTGGATATATTTGCAAAAAGTTATTATTTAACTTTATTTATTAGTTGGCTTTAATTATAATCCTGGAGGAAACTGAATTATGGTCCAACTGCAACACAGTCTGACAGCAGAGTAAGTTATAGCTGCCACCTTCATGGGACTGTAGGCAACGCAGCAAAATAAAGTGATCAGTTTCCTTCTTCAAATCTTCCAGGCATGATTAGATGAAAGACTAGTCAAAGATAAAAAAGTCTTTAGACACAGAGCTGCTGTTTTTTAATTCTGTCTGCTAGTTTTGACAGCAAAATACAATCTTCTGTGACGGAATCATAATGATTAATTAGGTAAAGCACCTTCACCCATCCTCTTGTGCAGTTATGACTTATGTTATCCTCACTGACTATAACCTCCATCAGCTTTGCTCAATTAACTGAGGTTAAGCATTATAGATTATCGAGGAATTGGGTGATGGTAAATCAGAATGACTTTCCCAATTTAAAATTAAAAGATGGTCAAGTGTTTCAGAGACAAGATTCAATGCCAAGAATTTACAGTACCACTCTCTACCATAGACAGGCGGAGAAATTGTTAGAGATGTGGTTTATCATATCTGAATTTAGCCATCTAAAGGTTAGATATGGAGATGAAGCTGCTCTTTATGGAGCAAGAGATACTCACTGGAAAGAGGCAGTCGTTTCAGGGCATCATTCATCCTGTGCTAACTATCCAAGCCAGATGGGACAAATCACCAACCAGAGGATCCTGTCTCTCCTTATTAACCTAAGAGAGACTCTGAATGACTAGATGTCATGATGAAGTTTTATACGATCAAAGTGGACGGAGATAACACAGGCCTTTCTGCCAATACATATTCATATGCCTGAAATTGCTCATGGAGGATGTAGCGGAAGATCGTCAGAGGGTGTGATGCCTCGTTCTTCTTGAACTAACCTAGTACCAAATACCTTTCAAAATGTGAAAAGGGGACTGGTCGTGGAGACACTTGGAACCTGAAGATTTCATGGGCTTGGTACACCTAAAAATATGACTATGTAAGTTTTGTCTGTACTAGTAATTTGAACACACCCCAGGAGGCACCTGAGCACATCTGTACTGTTAAAAATGATCCCTAGTTTGGTTTCAGACCATGGTAGGCCAGCACTTTTGTAACCAGTTGCTGAGCATGGTGTAGAACATAGTATATTCCAGGGACCGCTTCCAACAGCAGTCTGTGTGTGGTAACCCTGCTCTGAAGGCTGAGTGCTCCATGCCAGATGCCAGTGTTGGAGAATGGGCATGTTTAATATATAAATCAATTTAAAATTTAATCTTAGATGATATCTATGCCCTCTTCTCCAAATTTTTCTGTATTGTAAACTGGTTTGAAGTAAGGTACCCCTAAAACTACAGAGCCAAGCCAGTATTGATGTACTCTATCCCTCAGTAGGATGGGTGAAATGACATTATAACCAATACTAAATGGTTTTCAGTTGACTCAAAGTTTAGGCATCTGCCTGAAAAAGACCAATGAGCATCCCTCAAGTTTTCTCAGGATAGTAATTTCTATGGTCTCTTATGCGTGGAATGACTGCTTTGTTCCCCTCTATGCAGTGTGCAGTATTGGAACAGTCACAGATGTTTCCCCTTGTTATTTATTGTCTCATAGCTGCCATCTGTTCAGTGCAGCCTCCTGTTGTCTCTCCCCTGACACTTAGCTCATAAACTCTTTGGACAAGCACATCTATTTGTCTCTAGGATGCTTGACCTAAAATCTCTGTGGCAATACAGGTAAAATAATAATAGTAATTACAATAGTATAAATGCAGACTTCAGCTTTTGGAGGCTGGAAACGGAAAACTCAGCTTAAATATATGCATGTGTTTGTATTCCTCTGAAACAATATTTCCAAAATATAAATATATCCGTATATTATGTAACTATATAAAGTAATACTTCTTATGGAGAATTTTTGACAAGTCAAAAAATATCACTGAATTTTCTTGAAAAGAAAGGAAAGCAGAAGACATCAGATTTTAACAAATTGAGATTCTTCATGAAACCATAACCTTTCCAAGTCTGGCTGAGCAAAACAAATAAACTGCCCCCCATCACATCCAAAACATAATTATTTGAAACCCTGAAAAGCTGTCAGAGAAGAAGAATAAAACATGATCATTTACTAACATACATATATTTCTAATTCTATCAATCACTTCAGGACAGACACAAATGACACTGACTACTAGTATGGTTTCATGGAAATCACAATCTTTATTTTTGACAAAATGTATGCATATTTTAATTGTAAATAAAGTCAATAATAAAAGAAGTTTGTGGAGAAAAAAAAAAAAAAAAAAAGGTCAATGTGATTATACTCTAAACTTCATGCCAGCTTTAAAAAGGGGTATTTAAAAGACCTGTCCAACTGATCTATCAAATGATTCACTTGGATGGTCAAGGACTGCAAAAGTTGGTGACTGACCTGATTCTCTCTAGTAAGTCAAGGGCTGAATGCTACATCACAGATGTTGTGTGCTGGGACAGAGCTGCACTGCTCTAGGGAGGGCTCTGGGAAGCATCAGACAGTGCTTTTGTGTGCTCCTTGGTGGTATGCAGGAGTGTGGCTGATGGTGGAAAACTGGAACAGATTTTCCAGAGGTGTAATAGATGCTTCATACCTGGAAACCTTCAAGGTCAGGTTGAACAAGGCTCTGAGCAACCTGATCTAGTTGAAGATGTTCCTGCTTATTGCATGAAGGTTGGACTAGATGACCTTTAAAGATACTTTCCAACCCAATTCTATGATTTAAATGTACTGCATGTCTGTAGGACACAGCACCTCTGCTATTTAATCTTGGTGACTGATAAGCAGAGGAGACAGAGCAGTAGCCCTGTAGCCTCCAAACGGCTGGTGCATGACTTGTGCCATGCTTGCTGAACTTTCTGGTTAAATGGAAAGGACACGATGATGTTAGGGCTCTACAGGGTCAAAATCAGGAGCCCTAGCATTCCCTTTGGGCCTGGTTCACACAGACACATATTCGCACACAGACATGTGTGTGTGGGCTGAGCATAGTCTAACCCTAAACCTACATGTGAATGCAAAGCTGAAGGTCAAATCCCAAAGTCCTTAGAGAGTCAAAATGTTCATTGAAATCATTGTTATTCATTCCTGGGATGGCAAAATGATCCATGCATGTAGATAGGAGGCAATAAGTGCATCCCTTGTTCTAAAGCTAGTGGAAATTGTTTCTACCTTGGATGCTGGCTTAACTCCTGGCATTTGAAGACCAGCCAGGGACCACAGTTAAAAAACCACAGTATTTTCTCCACTCAGATTTGCAGAGAAGGAATGAGAGGGTATGTTAAGTGACTTTATTTATAATACAGAGGAGCCACAGGGCAACCATGAATTGGGCCTTCAAGGAGCTACTTCTGCAGGAGGGCTGAAGGGAAGGAACTCCAGGACATGATCTGGAAGATGCTGTGTCAATGCTGTCTTTCTGAAATGTTACAGGTTGTTGTGGTCAGCTCCTGGTGGGTGGCTCATGGGGAACTGCCATCAGGTTGTACTCTCTTTTTTTTTCTTCAGGGATCCTTTCAGTTTCCGCCACAGACTATCCTTCCTCTTCATTTTCTTCTCTACCATAGGCAATGAGGACTCTTTCCTTCGGATTTCCCTCACTAGTCCATGAAAGACATCATCAATGTAGAAGCGGAGGGCAGCTGAAGTCTCAAAAAAGGAGCAGGAGTATTCTCTGGCTAAGCTCATTCCTTCCTCAGTTGAAACCTACAAGGAAAAAAAAGTCCATAAATATTGAATGCACAGAGCATGAATCAACATGAGAACATTACAGTATATGTAGTCTAACTTTCTGGATACTCAAATCACTGACTAATTTTACAGGAAAATATTCTAACAGTACCTAACAGAGAAGATTCAAGAATGAAAGGATCAGATTGAATTCATGCAGGGATTTGAACAGAGCATGCTAACAATATTCATGTGCTCAGGTATAAAATTTCCCTGATTCTGACACACCTTTTTTTTTTTTTTTTTTTTATGCATTTCCTCTTTTTAGTGCAGTAATCCTATAGTTTGATAGAGCTGGTATCTTTATTCAGTAGACTGGAACGGATGACTTACACAGAAAGATTTACACAGAATTAAGGTCCTAGAAAATCTCTGTTCAGCATGTGCCTGTGGAGGCAACTTGCCTTCGAGCACACCATCTTTCATACCTTAAGATTTTTCAGTCACATTAATTTCTAAGCATGTATTTAAGTGTTTTGGTCTTGGCAGGACTGTAATCCCATCACTTAGCTCATGCCTGAGCTGTATGAAGACCCAAAATCTATTTGTTTTTCAGCTAATTTTCCCTAAGTGGCTTGATGTTCTTATCGTTCTATGTCTTTGTATTTTGAGGAACTGTAAAGCGAGGAATCACCATGAATCTAGATGTAGCCAAGGCAGATTTTTTTTTTTTTTAATTTGCCTGAATTTTGAAACAAGGATGTTACTCCTAAAACTTGCATATTAGCTACCTCTTGGCATGTGACTCACCAGCCTGCTAAATGGAGGGGTGCTCAGCATGCGAATTAAAGTGTGGTTTAAACAGAGTTTATATGTTTATCATAAGGACTGCTGCTGTCTACCACTTAAGGTACTTTTTGCACTTGGGAGCTCATCCAGTAACATGTAGCAAGTCTGCAGCAAAACAAGGAGCAAACTCTATGAGCTTCCAAATATTAAACTAGCTTTCCAGCTGATAGAGTGTCTTTTCTTTTCAGTATTTGAACATAAAAATGAATGAATGAACTGTGTGAATGATATGTATGCTGTATATTCAAATTCTAGGTCAGAAATTCCAGCCTTTGTTTTTATTTGTGTTTGGATATCATGATTTATTCAAGTGAGTTTTCAACCATCTGGATAAAAAGGCAAAAAAATACTTTGAGACAGCCTTGTGAAAGGCTACATAACAGGCTATGAATAGTCTCAATTGCTACTGTCTACCACGAGACTAATCTCGTGGGATTTTCTAAATTTTATTTCTACCTTCATGCACCCAAAATGTCATTCATATTTATCAGGGAAATAAACTGTGTTTCAAGATACAAACAAACTCTCTTATACCTACCATGAGGATGTTTTGACATCTCTCTCTAAAGATGGGCACAGTGAGAAACATGATTTGGGATGAAATTGAAAATCAGTTCATACATACAACCTGGAAGTAAATTTGCACTGGGCGTGTACCCGCATAGCACAGACCACAGAATTCCTTCCCATCACCTTGGCATTGAGTCACATTTCAGTTTGTAACATTAGTAGGATCATTCCTCTATGCTACAGGTATAATCATAATTTAATTAAAAATATTGTAAGGATAAGCAGGAAGGTTGTATGCCAACCTGAACAATAGTCACTGACACAATGAAAGATTGTTACTGCTTTCCAACTGCTATAATTGCCAACCTTTAGCAAAAGGAGATGGGTAGCAATATGGTCCTTGTTTTTCTCTGGGCAGCTGTGTAAGCAAAATGTGTGATTCAATATGTCTATTGGGCACCATTGAGAAATTGATTGTCTGGATAGAAGAGTATTTTGGTCTATTTTGGAGTTTATAATCATTTTTTTTCCCTTGCTATGCATTGTTTGAGCTGAAAGGGGGGTTTTATTTTATTTTGTTAAAGAGACTGCAGTTCTGAGCAAATGATTACACAGAGCTGCAGTTTCAGTGAAGATATTATACATTCATTACCTAAAAGGAAAAAAAAAATGCCCATAAATTGAACCTTCCTAATGTTAAAGAATGGTGAGGTCGTAAATATAATTAGGTTGCAAGCACAGCAATACTCAAATATAAAGTGTTGTCTTCCTTTTGCTCTGTGATTGTCTAGTCTTTGACCATGTAATTCCTCTTTTGTTCCACTCTTTTTTTTTTTTTTTTTTTTTTCTTTTTTTTTTTTTTTTTTTTTTGTCTTTTCTAGGATCAAAACTATGTTTTCTCCCACCTGCAAGGAAGAACAACTGCAGGGAAGGCATACTATGCTCTGTAATAAAACAAGACTGCTAAGAGCTGTGAGAACTGGAGAATACTCAAGAGAAATAAATTGTACAGAAAAACTTCCTCCCAGTGTCTATGTGGCTGGAGGCTTGTAACTTGGCCAAATTTGGCTGGATTTCTATATAAAGCAGCAAAAGTTTGTTTCTGGACTCCAGTTTCATGTCAAATTACAGAGAAAACATTAAAGTTATTAATGACAATAGTTCATTTCAAAGCCTGCTACTTTTCTTAAATCTTGCCCTCGGGAACTGATTAACTGCTTTGGTGAAGTTTAATGAACTAATTCAGCATGAGAAGGACACCTGGCACAAACAAATTCAGGACATTTAACTGAAGCTTTTCAGCTTCAAGGCTGAAAAGAGGCTTTTCAGAAATCTAATGTTGTCATAATTATCATTACTGCTTCCAGCAACAATAAAAATATAGCTATGGTAATTTAATTAATCTGTTTGCTGAAGAAACCATAAATATAGAGAGATGTCTACTGGAAAAGTACACATTTTTCTTTCTGTTCATAATTTGGTCAAGAGGCTAGACATCTATGGAATGAGAAACAAGGGATAAAGCCCTTGATGAGGTCACTGACACCCTCATAATTCCAGGGATTTACCTTGTTCCCATTTTATTGCTAGAAGAGAAACTATCATAGAAATCCATCCCAGGTCTGCACAGCTCAGGGACTTGTTGACAAACTGCAGCTTCCGCGGGTCTGTAGCAGCGGAAGATATGATCTGTCAGCATGACATGGACAGACAGGTCAGAGAGCGAGGTCATTCTGTTGAATATATATCTGGGAAGCAGGGCTTTATATCTCATCTTTAGAGTAACCCTCCCTGATTGAATCTGGCACTGTTTCCCAGAGTATAATTCTGGTTATATTGATTCCAATTTAGCTCATTCCTTTGCTGGTAAGCCTTAAGAAGGGAACTAAGAGGAAAGAATGATGAAGTTAAGATAATAAAAAATGAAAATTTAAAAGCTGGCAGAAACTTTCTGAGTTTGATCCAAGCTTTAAAAATCGTGATTATCTGGGAGGGGTTTGAATCACAACTTCCAGAAGGAAGGCATGAAGCTTGCAGTATAACCAAAGAGTAAGATCTCCCAGGACAAGTCCATAAAATGGTCAATAAAACCTCATGAGCATGATGTGTGACCCCCAGGAAACCAGTAATTTCACATCTTCCTTGAAAAGTGCGTGATTCTGACTGCCCTTTTGGGCATGTGTGAGTTGAGAGGGAAGATAGCTGGTTACAACAGCATGTGGACAGTGGATAACTCATGGGACTGTAGGTTGACTTTGGTAGTTTTCATCTCTGGACAGTTCAGGGCAGCTGGAATGCAGCACAACTTCATACTGACGGGACGTATTCTCTGGCTACAAACCACATTTCATAGCATTAAAATTCTGTTTGTGGCTTTTGCAAACCTCCCTCGGAAAATTGCAAGTGAGATTAAATGCAATGCTGACAGTCTGAGAAAGCTGTGATGGATGAGCTGCCATCTTTAAGACAGTCAGCTCCCCACTAAGGTCAGCTTCTGCACAACCAGAAAGAGAGCGCGAAGACACCTGGGCTGGGCGGTGGGTGGGGAGGCACTGGTAATCATTGGCCCCCACAGGCAGAGCATAAAAATATCTGTATCTGAGAAGGGAAGTGCAAAGAAACTAAACAGATCAATAGTCTACCTCTGCCCTTGGACTGTCATTATCTGGGAAATCTCCATCAGGATCAGGCTATTTTCCACTGAGTTTTGTCTCTCCTTTGGTCAAGGCAGCAACAAAAGTGTCCCAAAGTAGATTTCCTTGACAGAGATTGTATTAGCAGAGTCAACCACAACACCTTGGCTAAAATAATGGTGGTCTTCATGCAGGAAAAGAGTTCATTTCCACTTGTGCATCTCGTCCCTTCAACAGCACGGTCTACTTGAGATGATGGTTTTCCCCCTGTGATGGGGACCTCCAGGTTGCCATGGAGGGGTCTAGAAACTGCAAGTGAGGTAGTAAGGGTTGCAAGGATTCTCCTAAACATTTGTTACTGACTTCTATTAATTTTGCAGTCTCATTAATGTTGAAATGGGAAACATATAACTATATGTTAATGGGAAACATGATAACTATAGATCCAAAAGCTTTATTCTGTGAGTTTTTTCTTTGCTGAAGACATGTCATTTTAATGATGACTCAGAGACAGAAGGGGACTCATGTTTCTCAACAGAGTGCTCACCTAAATCCTACTGAGGTTAATAGGACGAATTCCAGTGGTTTTTGATCAAGCTCTGTATTTTTGACAGGCAATAACTTATGTGAGCTGTAAACAAAAGATAACTGTTTAAGACCATAGGGAGTGAAGCATCTTGAACAGCCTTGTTTGCACCACACTAAGCAATGAAATCAGTAGGAAAAGCCACAAGTATTCTGAATGATGCCTAGGAAAGATCCATATCCTTTCCCTTCAACTCTGGTGGATTTTTTTCTGTTTCCCAACACTCCCCATTCCAGAAAACAATAACCAGATGTCAGGTTGTTTATTAAAATTTAGATATCAGTTTAGAGATAGGCAGGCAATCCTGAAGAATCCACACAAATATTTGGGCCCCTTTCCATCACAGTCCATTCCCTCAACATATGAGAAAAAACATAATATACTTTTGGTACAGGTACAAATATATGCCATAGGAAAAAACTGAAGAGAACAAAGGTATTTCCCAGGAAGCTGATGAA